CGTCGTAGCTAATTCTAGTGACTCAAGAGGAACCAGTCCCATCCTGGCATTATCAATTGACACCTCTGCTCCAACAATTCTGGGAACTCGAGGACATACTCCAGACTCTCCGTAGATCTCCTGAGACCGAGGAGTGCGAGAAAGTCTTCGCCAAATACCAGTGTACTACGAACGATTGGTACGTCCTTCGGCTGCCTCTTAAGTGCGATGGCCTAGCATCGCTAGAAAATAGCTTGTCAGGCGCAACAGCTTCGTTTCGCTATTTGCACCGACGTTTGGAAAGCTATTCTGAGATGGCAGTTGAATACAAGCGTTTTATAGATGAATATCTAACCTGTAGATGTATGTGCCTATTGACCGATGAGGAGGTCCAAAACGCCTCACACTTGATCAACTATATCCCTCACCACGGCAAATGGCAGACTGAGGACCAACGGAAGAAGCTTTGCGTTATTTTCAATGCGTCCCGCCCAACTTCCTCTGGCCGCAGCCTCAATTATGCGCTGTACGCTGGTCCCAAATTACTGGCAGTACTACCTAACGTTGTTCTGCGATGGCGTATGCATCGATTTTCTTTCTGCATGGACATCCGTATGATGTTTCGTCAAATTTGGATTGACGAAAGAGATGCAGACTTTCAACGGATCGTACGGAGCCCTGACGGATCTTGCCCGCCCCAACACTACCACCTGTTGACTGTCACCTGCGGAACGTCATGTGCGCCGTACCTTTCGCTACGCACCATTCAATACATGTGTAAAGATAAAGGTCAATCCTGGCCCTAAACTATTCCATTCATCATGAAGGATCGTGATGCTGATGACATTCTTTCCAGGGCAGATGATCTTGTGGCTGCTCGACTTCGGCGCGACAATATAATAGACCTATTGCAGTCCGGCGGACTTTTTCCACATAAATGGTTCCTACCGAGTCTAATCCAGCAGATGTGGCTTAACGAGGGGTTGACTTTCCGACGTTGCTCAACCCTACATGGTGGGTAGGATCTCATTTGTTAAGAGGACTGGCCTCAGGATGCCACCAACTCTTCAACGTGCAGCGAGCCACCCTATTCACCGGCCATTCAGATTTGCTGCACTACGCAGTATATGTCTCACTCAATCTTAGAAAAATTCTCGAACTTGGATCGGCTCCTCCGCTTTCTTGCTTGCTTACGTCGTTGGACATGATGATGTCTCGGTCGATATCATGATACTCAGATATTCCTCCCATTGAAAGCGTCAGATTTTGAAGAATCTTATACCACCTGCCTCCATCTCATCTCAAGCCACTCGTTTTGGACCGAGATTGAGTTGCTGCAATCGGGGCATTTTCTTTTAGCCAAGCATCAGCCAATGTCATTGGCTCCATTTGTCTAGAACGACGGGATTATTCGGGAAGGAGGTCATCTGCAGTGGTCAGCGCTGAGCTACGACGAGCAACATCCATCAATTTTATGCCACGCGTGCTCTCTCGCCCACCTCGTTGTAGCATAGGCACACGAAGGCTTGCTGCATGAAGGAGCCCGAGTCACTAGTGTCTACGTAGCCAAAAGAGCTTGGATTATTGGTGGTTCCTGCCTCATCAAGAGCCATTTGCATCATTGCACAATCTATGTAAGATTGAATGCACGAGGAGCTACTTAGATTATGGCTCCCTTACCTGCTGCCAGGATTACCCCAGCTCGGGCCTTCTCTTGCGTGGGCGTTGACTACGGCAGCCCCTTCAATGTGTTGATAGCCAATGGACACGGCATTCAAACCAGCAATGGATACGTCGTTGTATTTGTGTGCATAAGTACTAAAGCCCTTCATCTGGAGCTCGTAGAAGACCTAACGACTAACTCGTTTCTGGGAGCCCTGATCCAATACGTGGGTGACCTTTCAAAATATGGAGTAATAACGGCAAATGTTTTCAAGGTGCTGCTGGAGAATTACGTTAGGTGCTACAGAACGCTGGGATGGATTGGAATCTCGTCTTGGACATCCTGGCCAAACAAGGAATAGCCTGGAATTTCAACTCCCTGCGAGCTCCCCAGTTTGAAGGGCTCTGGGAAGCAGGCGCGAAGTCAGTCAAGGGCCACCTTCGACGAACTGTTGGCTTTAAGAACTTGACGTATAAAGAGCTCTCTACCATTCTAGCCAGCATTAAGCTTGAATTTAACAGTCAACCCCTCACTCCACTGACTGGCGGGCTCGGCGACCTTGAAGTTCTCACCCCAGATCATTTTCTCATTGGGGTCCCTTCAATTTAATCGTAGATGCAGAGCCATCCCAGACTGTCTGGGTCATCTCATCCATTGGCAACTTGTTTGTGGTATCCAAGACCAATTTTTGTCTCGTTGGAGCTAAAAGTATTTGACTACCCTCCAGCAACGATCAAAATGGACTGTTCGAAGACGTAACTTCCAGACCAACTATATTGTCATCATCTCGGATCCTACGCTTCTGCTGCTAAATTGACATTGGCCGCTGGGACGCGTGACGACTGTTCTGACAACCTCCGATGAATTAGTTCGTGCAGTGATAGTCAAGACTAGCTCATAAGAGTACATGCGGTCTCTGGAAGTGCTAACCTTGTTCCCCGTCACTCTGGACGCTCCACCGACTCCCACGTCTCCAACTTCTAATGGCGAACTCGAGTAAACTTCGGTAGGTGGCATCTTATTTCATTCCATGAACGAGACTGGCGGGTTGTTCGTTTATTTTAATTCGACGCTCGTTCTGATCCAGTCCTCTGAGAGTTGCCAAGAGAGTCACTGCTTGGCAGATCTAAAAAAAGTGTGTGTGTGCTTTTTTACGCCAATGTGTGGCGTGTCTATTGAGAGCCCTGTGTATTTTCATCTCCCACTTTAAACCAAATAAAACGATTTCTTAGAACAGTTAAATAAAATTAATACCTACGTTGGTAAACAATTTTTGTGAGAACCTAAATATTTTGAATCAAAGTTTTACATCATTTTTGTTATCAACTACTTCATCTTGTATATTTTTTTTAAGTGAAACTCCTTTAGGTGCGCCTTATATGGAGAGTTAACTTGTGAAACGAGTGAACCCTGCCATGCACATAATTATATATATATATNATTAACATAAAAATATTTTTAAAATTATCAAGGTAGAGAAAACAGTTTTAATAACATTAAAAAACTTTAAAAAAGAAATTTAGTTATATGCTGGCTCTAAAAATGCCTTAATCAGTTAGGAAGTGTTATTTTTATCCGAGAAAGAACGTTTTTCTCTGTTACCATTCAAAATGCTGATTTAATGTAGTATCCTAGACTCTTAACAGAACGATAACGTTAATCGTGATTAAATGTAACTTTACTTTATCTAAGACAATCCAATATCAATTGTTAACTTCAATTTTAAATTGAGAACATAATTTGTGCATAAATTATTCATAAATAAAAAAGCTTTTTTTCGCAGATTGCAAATTTGTGTTAAGAAGTGTAAGACCAGCTTTAATAGGCAACTTACATAATTTGACCATCAGACGTACAGAAGTTGATGTAATAATCTTGACTCAAACAACACACACCTAGCCATATTTGTTATGCAAACATTTAATAACTCTTGTTAGTTTCCCTTCAAATAAAGAGAAATCTGAATTTCTCATAAAAACTAAATTATTAATTTCAAAGAAATCAGCACAATTTCGCCATTTTGAACGCTGTTGCGAAGGGTTCAAGTAGCTATGACCTTACAAATTCTAAAATTAAAGATGTTGACAAAATTTCCAAAAAATTTATTGTTACAAAATAACCTCCCAAAATGAGAAAAACAGTCATATCTGGAATAGAAAGCTAAATAGGCCAAAAATAATTTCTACGTAAAGAAAATAATTATTAAAGTACAAAAATACGTTACACAGATTCATATAAATAACCGTTATAGTTCTAAATATGATAAGTTATATTTCAAAGGCAAAGCTACGAAATTCATACCCTAGCTATAAATTGCTTTATTTTCTGTTCTCTATAGTGTATTTTAAGAAGAATTAACGTGTGACCAAAACATATATTTTTCTTATTAATTTTGAGATCAGTAGAAATTAATAAAGCATGGGTGAATTTAATATTATATTATAAATTATTATAGAAACGAATGGAATGGAAAATTACAATTTTACAATGAAAAATATTTATATGTCAATTGTTTTCTTTAATTTCGATTAAGATATAGTGGATTATATTAATGTTATAGTAGCCAAAATTAGAAAGAATTCTTATTTGTTGGACATAAAGAGTCCAACAAGAATTTATTGGATACATATGATGTAGTATCAAATGCACGAGTATTAATTCCAAATAAAAGGAATTTTTGTCCCGCGTGATGAGACAGCAGCACCTTCTTTTGGCGTAGCATGGTGAAAATATTTGTTTCATTCTGTATATCATGACCAACAATTTGTGCATGTATTACATATATCATAGCAAATATGGAAGCACTTTAAATGTGCGAATCATAACATAAGTAGTATATTGAGGCATATGTTTTCTATGCACGCACGAGCTCAAATAGGTAATAATATTATTACTGTGTACAAGTACTACGTCTTTTGATTTGGATGATAAATGTCATGAAATATTATCCTTATGACAAGGATACAACTTAATTACACATTTTACTAATTGGAACGCACCTTTACCCAGTCTCATTATGCAGGTCATCAACTTAATTATAACTTACTCTCATGTTTTTTTTTTTCACTTTCATCCTTTCAATAAATTATTAAAGTTGTCGTAAGTTAATATTAAACGTCAATTCAATACCTGAGTTGACGATAAGAATTAATAAAAGGAAAAAGATTTAGAAAAAAAAAATCATTTAAGGCAGGATTGTAACAGTTTTACCCAAAAAATATAACAAATATGTAAACTGGTTGTAAAATTTTCTTCAAGATACATAGTTGAACGTAAAACAATTTAAATTTAGCATAAAAGACTTGGAGACGAACAATATAGGCGCTATTTATGTAAAAAAATATGTTGTTATACTTACAGACTATAATCGCCATAACTATGAGACCAATGACTCCCATGATGATCATCATCTGTAAAATAGGAGTAAGTATTTTTAAGTCCATGCGACCATATAAAATCTAGTATGTAAAATATAATCAAGTAACAAAAAAGTGGGGACAAACTTTTGTAGTTCTAGTTGATAAGAGTAGTTATTATGAAGCAATCTAATCAATATTTTTCTCTTTTTTTTTTAACGTATACATAGTCTGAATTTTTAATCATACATTTTTTAAATTTTGAATTTTAACAACTCCAAAAGTATCTGGTTAAAAAATTGAAAAAAACATATGTTTTTCCTTACTGGCAAAGTTAGTTTTTGGCAGTTCTTAAATTGTTTTTCGGCATACGGTAATTCAATGTCAGAAAACTAGTAACATCATTTAATGCTTGCACAATTACTTGTATGTTAATAGCTGTGGTAAAATGAGTGACTTCTTGACAAGGATTTTTCAGTAACTATGTGGTAAATCAATCTCAAATATCATACATACTTTTTTTTATACTTAAATAAGTTTTCCAGAAGTATGCAGAACTTTTTAGGTACTTTCAACTTCAGAATCAATTGCTTCAAAAGAATAATTATTTAAAATTAACGACTATTTACGAAGAACAATTTCTAATTAAAAAAAAGTAATAAGATCATATAAAAAAAAAATTCATTTTTTGACGATTAATTTTTATTCATTAACAAAATTGGTTTGTAATGTTAATAATCGAATTTAAATATTAATGATGTATCACTTTGTTCAAGAATTATATATATTAATATTTAATGAAAAACTTAATCAAATCTTAAACACAACTCTTTCAGTAAAATCTAAACATAAGATTTTATTACAAAAACGTATCTTCTTTGGAACAATTACATCTATTATTCCGATAAGGCTTGTAAAGTACATTCTAAAAAACAGCTACGATCGCTCCTAATGCTCTTTAAATGGACATTTTGGATGTCATAAAAATATTTTTAAAATTATCAAGGTAGAGAAAACAGTTTTAATAACATTAAAAAACTTTAAAAAAGAAATTTAGTTATATGCTGGCTCTAAAAATGCCTTAATCAGTTAGGAAGTGTTATTTTTATCCGAGAAAGAACGTTTTTCTCTGTTACCATTCAAAATGCTGATTTAATGTAGTATCCTAGACTCTTAACAGAACGATAACGTTAATCGTGATTAAATGTAACTTTACTTTATCTAAGACAATCCAATATCAATTGTTAACTTCAATTTTAAATTGAGAACATAATTTGTGCATAAATTATTCATAAATAAAAAAGCTTTTTTTCGCAGATTGCAAATTTGTGTTAAGAAGTGTAAGACCAGCTTTAATAGGCAACTTACATAATTTGACCATCAGACGTACAGAAGTTGATGTAATAATCTTGACTCAAACAACACACACCTAGCCATATTTGTTATGCAAACATTTAATAACTCTTGTTAGTTTCCCTTCAAATAAAGAGAAATCTGAATTTCTCATAAAAACTAAATTATTAATTTCAAAGAAATCAGCACAATTTCGCCATTTTGAACGCTGTTGCGAAGGGTTCAAGTAGCTATGACCTTACAAATTCTAAAATTGGGTCGCATCGTATTGGATAGAAAATGCCGATAAATTCAATTGCTCGCATTAAAAAATAGTTGGTTTGGATGTAACTTATACTTACTTACCCCAAAATAAAATTATAGTAATAAAAAATCTACAAACAGTTCGTTCATTAATAACCAATGATTGCTTGCCCACGAAATTTAGTTGAGACTATTTAACCCACAAATATAGTTTGTACATAGATAACCAATGCTTGCTAAATATGACTTATGACATGTCAACTTATACTTGTACCATGCTAGTAGGGATCAAGGTGAGACTACGAACTAACTGTCTCCATTTGTCAGGCTTTTAACGAGGTGGAATTGCAGGCTAATTTAATTTCAAACTTTATTTAACGAATCATTATACCCCTTAAGCCTCAGATTCACGTTTCTAATATGGAGTAGGCTAGAATTTAAACGGTCAAATATCATTTAAATAAGATTCTTGGTATCTGCACTTGATGACTATCATGTAAAAATCAAAGCTTGTTTGAATTCCCGTTCGATTGCCCCAACCGGACAATTGACCGTAAGCTCAGTGAAAAATTTTGAAATCTGTAAGGTCATAGTTACTTTAACCCTTCGCAATAGCGTTCAAAATGGCAAACTTGTGCTGATTCCTTTGAAATTAATGATTTAATTTTTGTGAGAAATTTAGATTTCTCTTCATTTAAAGGGAAACTAATCAGAGTTATTAAATGTTTGCATAACAAATATGGCTTGGTGTGAGTTGTTCGAATCAAGACCATTACATTAACTTCTGTACTTCTGATGTTCCAATTATGTAAGTTGCTTACTAAATGATCAAATCATGCTACAATACTAAATAATCGACTATTTAATAATTATAAATGATAATGGATTTACTATACGCTAAGTCATAATCGGTTATAAATTAAACCAGCTGTTTTTTGTATGTAAAATAATAGAAGTATGAATCTTTGGTATGCAAGCATTGATTAAAAAATAAACAATATAGTTATAAAAGTAAAATAAAAGTAATGATGTTTTTTAGGCAAGCAAGCATCAGTTAAGATGAAACTTACTGTTTTTCGGAGTAATATGATAATAAATATTATTTATTATGCTAGCAAACATCAGTTGAACATAGGCAAACCTATATTCTTGAATATTTTGGACTAGAAAACCTTTTGGAGTAGAAAACTGTTTACTTTTTACCATTAAAACATTTAAAATTCTTCTTAGGCAAGCTAGCAAGCATCCGGCATGCATGAATATTGGACATTAACAAAACAAATATTTTATTTACCAAGATAAAATAATAATATTATTAATTCTTTAGCAAGCAAGTATCGATTATAAATGAACAACTTTTTGATGTTGTATAATGATAAATTTGATTTTTGAGCAAGTAAACACCACTCATACATAAACAAATAATTTTCAGATATAGAATAAGAAAATTAGTTTCTTGGCAAGCAAGTACCACTTGTTAACGAACTTACTATTCTCCAATGGCTAATAGATACAAATATTAATTTCAAGGCAACAAAGCATAACTAGTTATAAACAACTAAATTTTATTTAAACGTCAAATCATTATGATAATAACGATTATCATGCGTGTGATAAGACTGATAATACCGATTATCGATGAAGTAAGCAAACAACTAATTTTTGTGATCTTTAATATTTATAATATTAATTTTTGAGCAAGCAAGAATAAATCAGTAGTAAATCTACTATCTGTTAATATCAAATAGTAATAAAACTACTTATAACCCAACAAGCTTGTATCGGTAATTAACTACTATTCATAGTACTATTCAAAAATAGTTGTATTTCTTAGTGCACAGGTACAAGTAATAAAAGTTCTAATTGTTTTAACTTGTTAAGTTCTTAAAAAATTATTAATTACGATACAAAGTTAGATACCATCGACACAGGACCATTGCTACCTTGCCTTGAAACAGATGATACTGTAGTATAGTTAAGAATGGGCTCGACCTCGCTAGCGCTTTTGACTCCATTCCCCACTCCTCTATTCGTAGATCATTGGAGGGCCATGGGCTGCCGAGCAGGTTCAGGAGCGTCATCAGCGCGCTGTAATCTGGTATGATAACAAGGGTGAAAGTGGCAGGCGGCACTACGGCCCCGATACGCGTTGAGTCGGGTGTCAGGCAGGGTTGCCCTTTCAGCCCCGACGTCTTCAACTTGACCATCGAGGTGCTCGTGCGTAGAGTGGCCGGCGTCGACGAGGGCTGTACACTTGGAGGCCGACGCTTCAACAACCTCTTCTATGCTGATGACGGTGCGCTCTTGGCGGGCTCCCCCGAGGGCATGAAACACCTCCTGGAGGCGGCGGAAGCGAGCGCGCGGGCGATCGGCATCACATTCAACCCGGATAACTGCGCGATGCTGCACATTATCGGTGGAAGAGAGCGTGAAGTCTGGCCAACGGAATTTACTATACAGGGAGCGCCGATGCCCACGCTTGATAGGGCGATGCACGAGCATCTTGGTATATCTACGGGCTACCAAGTCCGCCAGACACCAATATCTTCGATACGGGACCTTCTGGAGGACGCAAGGAAAATCAGCGACTCCTTGCTGACGCCATGGCAGAAAATCGATGCGGTCGGCACATTTTTTCTGCCACGCATGGACTTTATTATGCAGGGAGGCGTAATTGAGAAGGAATACCTGTCAACTGCCGACAAGGAGATCAGGAAGTTGGCAAAAAAGAGGCTGAGCCTCCCTCAGCGAGCGAGCGCGGAAGTCGTATACCTGCCCCCCGCGCAGGGTGGGGGTGGACTACTTCCAGTGGCCGATGTGTACGATGTGCTTACTGTGGCGCACGGATACAGTCTCCTCAATGCGAGGGATTCAGCAGTAAGATCGCTGGCAGAGACACTCCTAAAGAAAACGGCATCGGAAAGGCTGAGAACACACGCAAACAACACCGACATCTCGCGATATCTCTCTGGCAACATGAATATATACCAACGTCTGGCCCGGGCGTCTTTCTGGGCTAAAATTCGCAAAGCAACAATCAGCCTTAGAAGAAGGATTGTCCTACGCTGGAGGTGGTGCGCCGACAGAGAGGTACTCGGCCTGGAGTGCGGCGAGCGGGGTGAGAGCTGCTCCTAGGGGGCAGACAGCGAGTCGAGGGCGTTCTGCGCCGTGGTTTGGTGGAGCACTACGCGCAGAGACTCCTTGCCAAACGAGATCAAGGCAAGATGTTTAAAATCACGAGGAAGTCAGCCGTCTCCAACCACTTTCTTTGGAGTGGCAGAAAGACGCGGTTCTGTGACTGGCGCTTCGTGCGTCGAGCCAGACTCAATGTGCTGCCCCTGAACGCGACTATCCGCGGAATACTGCAACTGGAAAAAAGATGCCGCAAATGTGGAGCGGCTCTTGAGTCCCTCCCACACATGTTGAACCACTGTGGGCCGTACGCGGCTGCAAGACAA